ACATCTCCTTAATAACACCACCTCTGCAAGAGACATAGCGGTTAGGTCAACCCCGTGTCCGTGTATGCACTGGGGGTGTTGCTTACATCGCCTGTTGCTGCCTTTGACAGTTGGGAACCCACCACCCCAGGGCAGACCGCTCGGGCTGTCAGCCCCCCACAATGCCCCACTTAAGGAGCAAGTGTGCCTGCTGAGGACGCGCACCACCAGCAGAAGGAGGGTAGGGTGGACGTGAAGAGCCAATTTAATTACTATGGTGGATGTGGGTCGCCCTAACTTAAATCGACTTAATTTTGTTGTGTAGACAAGCCCGCTGCTGGGAGTCCCGGGCCCTTTAAATTGCTGCCTGGGGAAGCTGGGCTGCCCCGGTACGGCGCACCGGCTCTTGCTGGTACGCCGTACGGGGGCCTACCGACTTACTTTCACCTCTAGGGCTGACGGAAGAGATGGTCCATCAGTCAGTGTGGATAAGTCTCGAGCTGTAAAGAATTTGAAACAACGTGAAAAGGGCCAGTGCGTTCAGGGTCTGAGCCCCTTAGCCGTGTCCTGGGCTCTGTATACTTGGGAACTGGAGTAAAAAAATGTAAATCACCCAAGTGACTTAGGAGGCCATGCTCCCTATTTAAAAGTGACTTAGGAGCCTACCTCTCCTTCCCTTAGGCTCCTGAGTACATAAATGCCTTTTGGAAGTGGAATCATGCGGGCGCTTTGAGAGCACAACCCCTGAGCTCAGCGAGTGGATGCAGCTGCAGGGCAGACGCCTGGTTCGCATGGTGCATGCGTCACTCCTCGCCGAGCGGAGGAGCTTTAACTATCTGAGCTGCTGAAAAGGCTTCCTTGGGGAGGGTCCAGCAACACCAGCATCAATCTCCAGCATCCTCCGTCACAGAGGGTTTGGTGGAGACTGTTCTCTCCAACTCTGGCCCTGGCGACCTGACCTCCTACAGCAATCTCCATGTGCGCTCACCTTGGTTTGAGTGCCGGGCTGGGCTCTTTGTTCTGCAGATTGTAGCCCTGATCTGTCACACCTGCTTGCGGGGAGGGAACCGCCAGCATTTGGGTCGGGACTGGTACGGGCCATTTTCTCCATGGCAGAGTCTCCCGTGCAGGGCTGTAGAAAGTGTGGGTGAAAGGGGCCGGATTGGCAGTCCTGCAGCCACATGCTGCCTGGACAGGATGGAGACAGCCTGGGCCACAGCAAGGCGACCCCTGGTGCTCTGCTAACGCAGCCCAGATCTCAGAGCAGGTGGGGAGATGGGTCTCCAAAGCCAACGTAACCCTTGGGCGCACTGTTGAGGCTGCAGCTGCCTGGCATGTTTGGGAGGTGGGTAGGTGTCTGCTAGGGGCGGGACTGCCACTTCCAAACACACTTCAGATAGCAATAAAGTGGGAGCACCTTTAGATCCCTCCTGGCCTGGATTAGATCTGGACCACTGGTAAAAGACTCCAGAGCCACTCCCCAATCTCTGGCTCCCCCCACCAGCCTGTCCTTGCAGGACGGTGATCGTGTTCAACATTTGTCTGTGTCTCACGGTCCCCCCTGCATGGTAGTGACTCTGGGAACTTGTTCCTGTGTGAGGAGAATGGGTCTGAGCCTGTGTGTGTGGCAGGTGATAGCAGTGGCAGTTTTGCCTGAGCAAGGACCGCAGGGCTGGGCCCACTGTGTTTTGTATACAGAGCCCAGTAAATACGATGATGAATGCCCACTCCCAGTGGCCCTGAGAACTCGTGTCTCCAGTAGAACAGTGGCTGGAGTATGGCTTCCAACTGGCCAGCCCCCTTGGGAGGGAAGGATTGGCGGATGTATATCTTGACTCATAGGTTCAATTTCCCCATTTCTAAAGTGTGTCCAGGGGCCCCAGCCAATTTGGGACCCCTGGAAAACCCTCTCCCCACCACAGCCCTGGAGTTACAGGAGCTCTTGCTTCCCACCACAGCCCCAGGGTCACAGCAGAGGCACAGCATCTCTGGTCTTGGGGCAGAACGGGGCGGGGCCGTGGGTGGAGCAGGGGAAGGGGTGGAATGGGGTGGGGCCATGGGTGGGGCCCACAGAAGGGGTGGGGTTGGGCCACAGTTCCGGTGCCAGGGGCAGGGCCCCCAAGTTGCTCCATCCCAGGGCCCCAGGAGCTCTTAATCCACCTCTGAGTGGGACCCTCCTTGTCCCGTTTCCTGGCAGTGCCCACACAGCTCAAGGCCCACTTCCTCCCCTCCCCCCCACGCAAACTCCAGCAGTCCCCTCTGGGCCAACCCTCGTACACTGCCCTCACCCACACCATTTAAAGGGACCTGCTTTCAGCTCTGGCCCAACCGAGAGCTGCCCCTAGGTGCAGAGAAAAGTGCCGCCTCCTCTTTCAGCGTATTTTTATTTTACTGATGGAACCTTTGCACCCAATAATAAAAATGCAACATCCGGCGGGGGGGTTAGCCAGCAATGGGCTTGAGTGCCACCTCGTGCCGCACTGTGCGGGGAGAGAGAGGAATGCAGCAGAGCCGGGCAGGCCATGCCAGAGCCGTTCCTCGCTCTGATGTCGCAGGAGAGCAGAGTTCAGATAGCCTTGTTACATCCTCACTACAGCCGGCAGCAAGTCACCCACCTGCCTCCTGGGCTCGTCCGGCGTTTTAACTTTGGGCCTTCCGTTGGGAAAGTTGTTCCCTGGAGTCCACCGACAGCATCCATACGGTGCACAGCCCTTCGTCCACCTGCATATTCTCCCCACGTGTCCCGTCACAGTGGTGACAACCCGCAGTGAGGTCCCAGGGCTTAACCTTCTCTGCTGAGCTTGGTCACCTGTAGGGTACAGTTCGAGATGCACCACTGTCCATCCGGCTTCTCCTTCCTGGGGTGTTACCATCGGGGTGCTATGTCAGTCAGCTGGTGGGAGGTAGCCTACAGCAGAGTCAGTCCGTTGCCTGCCTAGGGACAACATTAATCGTGTTCATTTAATTTCATGGTGGTGCCCAAGTGGCAGGCGCTGATGGGCACCTAATAGCAGAAGACGCTCAGACACTGGGTTAGATGGCAACAGCTCAGAACCATCACCTTTGGGGCAGGAACCAGCAGAACAGGGACAGGTGCATGGGATGCAAATGATGGCAGGAGGTTTGGCAGCGTTGTTCCTCCTCAGCCTCTGTGTCCCAAGGAGAACCCAGCGACAGAAGACCTTCTGCCGGGTGAGTTGATAGGGCCACTGCTCTTCCCCACAGACCCTACAGAGAGGGAAGAGGACACAATAACACTGATATTCAGACGGAGGTTTGGGAGCTGCAAGTGGCTTTTTAATACATCTCCTGTGGCTCTTTGCAGCAGATGATATTAACACACCGTGTGATTGGTTAATAACTTAGATTGGTTGATCAAAGCATCCTGATTTAATTACTAGGTTATTAACCACGTGTAGTTGATAAAATAATACTTGGCCAGTCATTTTGCTAGGGAGCACCATCTGGCCAGCACAGACTAACGCCTCCAGAGGGGGCTGCCTCCAGGCCGGCTCAGCTGGAAAGACAATTGGTGGAACATGTTAATGAATGCACACTGGAGCCAGGGGGTGTCTACACTATGGCTTCCAGTGGGTGTTAGCAAGAGAAGCAATTTGTCACTAAAATTCCCTAATCTAGGCCAGGCCTTTCAAGGCCCCTTGTGGCCTAGGGAGACCACATTTCTGCTTGTGCAAACGCCACATGGACTATGCCTACATTAGACTGACTTCCTCCGAATTTCCCACCATTGCTACCTGCAGCGAAGTCCCACCAGTCATGGACAGACGCCCAGACGCCACTCTTGTGGAGACCTGCTCGGAGCAGGCTTAGTCCATGTGGTGTTTAAAATGCTGTCAGCCTGCCTAGACTAGAGCCCTTCCACTGGTGGACCCGTACAGCGGTGGTAGCAATGGCGGGAAGCCGTAACTGATGTAACATAGGCCAGGCCTTAGAATCACACCCCGCCTGTCAGATCCGCCAGGGCACTAAAATGCACAGTAGAATTTACTCTGTCCTTGAAAGTTAACTTCTGTTGTGTGGGTGTGATGAGGGAAGGTCATAGTCTTCTGGGGCTGGATTTAGCAGTCGTTCGATAGCTGTCATCAAAAGCAGCATGTCCAAAACAATCCCGAAAGCACGATGGCACAGAACTGAAAGCATCAATTCAGTTCAGAGCCCTGCTTTTTGCCTGGAGATCATTTTACTAGTAAATCTAAACTAATTTTCAATGGAACTTCAATGGGCACCGTGCGACTAGGTTTTAATTATAATCTGAGATACTCCCCAAAAGAACCTGGTTCTTCCAATTCTGCCTCTCCTGGCTGGGAGCTATTGTTTTACCTCTTTATTGTTGTGACATCGTCATTGTTTAACAACATCCTATCAGCTCTAACAATGCACTGGGCTCTTCAAGGGAAAGATGTTGATTACAATGCAAACACAAATGAAATGAACTGGTTCTGGGGGGAGGGGGAGAAAAAGCAGCATCCGTGTTTTCCATTCAGTTACATTAGATTTAAGGGCTCTCTCTCAATGTGGAGAAGCAGTAACTGCCAAGTATTAAGTGATCCTTAAAGCCTTTGTCTGGTGCTGGATGCCAGAAAACCGAGGCATGGTGCTTGTACCACGTAGCCTCCTTTTCCCTGCCACACTGACTCGAAATGAGAGTTATGTAAATACAGTTTAGACCAGAGCTGCTACTGTAATGATCTTCTACATGTGTAATGACCTACCAGCACCATGTGGGGGTCAACATGGCTAGAACCCAGGACTTTCGGCTCCAAAGTCTGGGCTTCTACCATGTTCCCAATGAGTAACTTGGTTAGCTGGTAGCTGTAGTAGGCTCTTATCCTCTATGTGGATTGGCTACCGGAGGGGAATATGTTGCTCATACCTAGTGTGTTAAATTTGAACGTAATTTCTGGTGCAGCTGTGCCACGCAGGTGGTACCACACATGTAAATAAAACCCACAAGCATGAATCATTAAATAGCTCCCTTCCCCCTCACACCTACTCACCTTTCACAGAGTGCAGACATCCTCATTAGTGAGCCCTGTGATCTGAGCGATGGCTATGGATTCCATGTAGGTGTGGCTTCCAGAGAACATGGACCTCCTCGAGGAGCGCCTCTTGGGCTTTAACGTGGAGAGGTTGATGCAATTCTTCTGGCGACTCCTCAGATACTCTTTGTAATTCTTGGAGAGCAACGTGTAAAGGAAAGGGTTAATGCAGCTGTTGCTGTAGGCCAAGCAGGTCACGATGAAATTGATGTAGACCATGGTGGTGTTGGTGAGGTTCCCTGGCTGCTTGTAGTAGATACTGAGCAGCTGCCAGAGCCAGAAGGGTATGAAACAAGCCCAGTAGGTGAGGACGATGCTGAATATCATGTACAGGACTTTCTGCTTGGGGCACCGGTTCATTTCCCTGGTGGTGAAAACAGCAGTCTGAGATCTCCAGTATGTCTTGGCCAACTTAATGTATAAGTAGCAGATGACAAGCCCAGGGGCCAGGATGCAGGTGTTAAAAAGGATGGTGAGGTACACTTTGTAGGTCTCCATCTGCCAAGTGGGATGGCACATGCGCTTGGTCACCCCGCCCTGGTCACTCGTCCTGAGGTCTATGAGGATCATAGTAGGGAGGGCAAGAAGAAAGGACACCAGCCACACCAGGCAGGTGACAGTCCTCCGGTAGTCTCTGGATCTCCCAATAGTGTCTAATGGTTTGACTACGGCTAGGTACCTTTCGGTGCTCATGATGGTGAGGATGAAGATGCTGGCGTGCATGGTGAGGAGGTCCAGGCTGAACAGGACCCTGCAACCCACATCTCCAAAGTACCAGTCCTTCACGAAATACGTGCAGACCACGAAGGGGATGGTCGACAGGTACAGGAGATCTGCCAGTGCCAGGTTGACGATATAAATGTACATCGAGCCAGTGAACGTCATGGAGAGGTTCACAACCACCAATGTGTAGATGTTGCCAACTATGCCCACCAGGCACATCACGGCCAGGATGCACCCCAGGGAGTAGGTGACCAAGACATCACTGGTGTCAGCGAGGACTTCAAAGGTGGCATTGGCATGATCCATGGCATTCTTAGGGTGGCAGGGTACAGAAGTGCATGGACCCAGCTCCATCTCTCTGCAATTATGGATTTTTTCAGCCCCAGAGCATAATAATAGATGCACTTAACTGTGAAGATGTCGCGGTGAGAAGCTGTCGTCAGACGTGCAGACAGATTCCATGCAGCTGAGCAGACAGGGCTGCGTTAGACACAAAGGTCCCTGTCACTATAACAGCATCACTCTGATTTTTTGCCGGTGCCCACGAATTTACAGCCTCTAAAAAAACAATCCCTGCTCTCTCTCGGCTGTATGTTATTTCACCCTGCAGAAAACAGCCTTCAAGGACCACAGATGGAAGTGAAGATAGGAGTCAGTTACCTGCAGACAGCTGTCTTCAAGTCCAAAGGCTAAAAGCCCCTAATGTATATTAACGCTGTGGCTGGCAGGTAGATGGGGAAGCGATCACTCTGCTGGAAATAATCCTGGTGCAGCTGCCTGTCCAAGCTATTTTCCTTCCCATGAAGATGCAGGCATTTATTTACTCCGATTGCCTTCTAAGTGGTCCTTGTGACCCTGGAGGCTTTTAAGTTGTCAGCGATTGAATTGAAGCTGCGAGCAAGAGTTGCTCTTCTCCAGACCTGTCCAAAGTTCCATGGCACGTGAAATGACAGATAAACGGTGGCCTGAGTGCTGTGCAATTGGAGCTGATATCCTCCCAGAGACGGAGAGAGATGTGAGGGCGATCTGCTCTCCTGGCAGATGCTAGAATGTAAATCGGAAGCAGTGTTGTTTGAATGCTAAGGCAGATCTTAGCTGCTGTTAACAAAGATAAGGCTGGACCACCGAGGGGTCCCTGCCAGTCCCCAATGAGGTGGGTGTTGTGGCCTGGGCTAAGAGCAGAGCTGGGATGATCTGTTCCAGCAGACTCCTCTCTCTCCCCATGCTGGTAAATCCACACGTTTTCCAAGAGCCAGAGCTGGAGAGGGGTGGGATCTGCTGCTCTGACAGCCCCCCAAGAGGTGGGATTTGTTCCTTTTCCGAATAGAGAAGAGGAGGTGAAACCAGCACTGGCACATTCTTCCCACCAGGACGCATGCACACACCCGGCACCTCCTGCCCCCTTGCTCCCTTAGCAACACGGGGCATTGGGCTCTGCCTCTTGAAATGTATTTCTATAGGGAGATCTTTGCTCCTTTCTTTCTAGCCTCTTGTAATTTTAATTTTGCACAGTTCTTTCTTTGTGCTTCAAAGGGGGCGCTGCGAGGCTAATTCCGCTGTGCAAGACGCACATACCCTCATTTGATCTGGGCATGGCTGGGGGGCTATTTTTAAACCTGCTGCCTCTATCAGGATGGAGAGGTATTGAACTTGTAGCTGGAGCACGTGTTCCAGGAAAAGGGAGCAGAGAAGCCTGAAAAGGCCAAAAGGAAATGCTGTCTAATGCCTCATTCCTGTAATAGGAGGGCCATAAAAATCAGAAGACAGTGAATGGCGTAGCCCTAGCTAACCATGGAATGAGCAAAGTGTCATCACTTAGATTGCCACAGTGCCTTTTGTAACAAAAGATTGCCAGAACGGATTAGCTGAAGATCCCCTTACTTTGCGATGGAGTCACCTCTGGGGTGGAACACATCAGCTGCTTAGCAGCGCACAGCAACAGCATGCCATTGTTTAGGAGAGGACGTGAAGAAGCACATGGGGTGTCGTCATCCCGGTTTGTATTTTGGCAAGAGACTGTCTGCTGCACCCTGGATGAGTCAGTCCTAAGGAAGAAAACCCCCCTCCCCCTGCAGCAAGTCACTGAAACTGAAGCAGTGTTGTTGTTCCTCTGCATTAGCCCTGGTGTTGAGGAGGCCTGACTGCACTAGGGCAAGGAAGAGGTAAGAACTGCATTTCTCCCACATGTATTGATTATGGCATGAATCTTTCAGCCATATTCTACACACAGACTAAGGCCATCCTAGACAACCGTGCTTTGACCATTGTCTCGTAGAGTCCCCCACACTTACTATATAATATCAGGGATCCCTATAAGGTCCGTTGCCCTCACTGGGTGTGGAATCTATGTAAGGACGGAGGAGAACTCCAGAAATTCCTTAGTCACTGGTCAGCTACGTAATAAACATTTTATTAAAGTTAATGTTTAAAATTAAATAGACACAAGTTAAGAGGGAAGGTAATGTACATCTGGGGTCAGGCTTGAGTTATGAGGGATTACAGGTACTGGTTACAAGAATCACTAGAGATCTACATATCACACAACCAACATAGACGCAGATTGGGGTGCGGGAATTTTTAAAGCGTCAGTGGATAAATGGGCACGGGTACGCCACCCATGGAATGTATAGCGTCCAAGTCAGTATCAGTGTAGCGAATAAGTACCTGGGTGGGGTGCGTCCTTTGGTTCGTCAGGGAAGGAAGTGGGTTATTTCCCTGGTTAGCGGTCTCGATTACTCAACGTGGTATTGACGGTGTCCCATGATGTGTTCCGTATCGATGTCTCTGGACCACCTGATGGTGTCAGACACCAGGAGCTGTCTCATGAGCCGGGCGTAGCGTCGCCTGACTCCCCACACTCTCAGTACTGGCTCGTTGTGGGGGTCCCACGAGCCCAGGGCTACCACGATCAGGGTGTGTATCTGGACCCCATAGCCCTGGGCTCTCAGGGTGTCGGCCAGCAGGGTGTACTTCAACGCCTTCCGTGCTCGGGCCTCGTGGAAGGCCGGTGACCTGTTTTCAAATGGCACCGTGACGCCTACCATGAGGACCTTCTTCTTTTCTGCGTCCGTCACGACGATGTCAGGTCGCAGTCGGCTGTCTGTCCCGGGGATGCGGAGTCGACGGTGATCTTCCCCAGGGACAGCGGGATGGCTTTCACCAGCCGGTTCTGGATGGCGTTGTGGCGGATGTTAAAACCACAGTGGCCGGTTGGGTTTACAAGACATCCTGGGTACGGATTTAAAGTGCAGTTCTGCTCTGAGGAGTGACAGTAAAAACGGCACCATTGCACCTCCGTCGGGGGTCACTAATTCCAGACTAAACAGAGTCACTTTAAAGGTAAACAGATTTGTTTTCCCTTAGCTGCCAGCCTGAGATCTGACAGCCAAGCAGGACTGATTCATTCTCTCTCTCATACTACACCCATCTCTGTGGTATCTGAGCACCTTCCACTTAAAATCAATAGCAATAACAAAGCCCTTAGTAGACGTCCTAGAGTCTGTAGCACTTTTTGGAGCCAAAACTGCTTGGGGCAGGGGATTTTTATAGCTGGGAAAGGAGGGCTGGAGAGCTGGCTGCTCTGGGAGTGTCCCTACCACCGCTGAAACCGCGGGACCGACGGATCCCCCGCAGGCCGCCCCCTGCGGCTTGCCGCCCCAGGCATGCGCTTGGTGTGCTGGTGCCTGGAACCGCCCCTGGCTGCCAGTGCTACGAACCTGTTGTTTTTTATGGCTCTGGATGCTTACTGCTCTCCAGTCAAAGTGCCGCCGTCCAATGCTCTAGTCATCCTTGAGCATCTTTTAAAATATACTAATAGACAGACCCCTCAGATCAAATCAAACCACATAACACAACTCTACCTCTCTTAGGTACCTACATGGCCCCTTTACCTTAGTATCTCAGCACCGCACAACTGTCAGTATATTTATCCTCGCAATACCTCTGTGAGGCAGGGCAGTACTATTATCCCCATTGTACAGAAGGGGAAACCGAGGCCCAGAGCAACTAAGTGACTTGTTCCATGTCTCGTGCATGTCCAGATTAACCAACGTGCTCTCGGTGCCCTGGCATGGGGTCCCCACCTCAGGAAGGCCCCCTCTCACCAGACAAAGAAACAAGAGCAGCAGCAACAAAGCCCTGAGTGGCACCAGGTAGTCACAATGCCATTCACTCAAATCTGGTTCACACGCATCACCCCCTCGGGACGGAGGGGCAGCTGGGCCAAACCTGAATGAGTAGTGCTGTCACCCGGCACTTGGCCTGCCTGCTTCTACCGTAACCCACCAAACCATCAGGCGCGCACTGAGCCCCATGGCGAAGAACCTCTGCGCTAGGGGGCCAGAGGAGGGGTGGGGACACTGAATTTTCACCTCAGGCGGTTATTGTCTTTTATCTCACATTGGCTATCTAATTGAGGGAAGGTGGGGGCCCCCCAACTTCCATAGAGCACAGCACCCCAAAACTCTTTAATCTGGACCTGGTCTCTCACACAGGCTGTAGCGGAGCCGGCAATTGAACCTGGCTTGCCTGTGGTGGGGGCTAGCACCTTAACCCCTTCCCCCACCATCCTTCTCGTGGGCCGTGCACTACCCTCTGAAGGTTAACAGCCAGGGAAGTTACAGACTCTGGAGGGGAAGGAAGTTCCAAAGGGAAAAAATAACTAATCCTTGTATAATTTATGAATCTGAACCTCTTGGGGTGGGGGAAATCATCTGCTCGAATGGACAGATTCTTTTCTGCAAAGAGGACCAGCCCTTTCAAGGATGAACTTGTGCTGCGAGTAGGGTGGGGGAAGGCACATGGGAGGTGTTGCGTTTGCCTGTCCACATTTGCAGCTCTTAACAGCTCTTGGCTGTCTCTCTCTGCCCTGCCTCAGTGGGATTCTAGCACCAGGAGCTCCGTATGCCTGCGTGCAGCTCTCATGGCTTTCCCTTTCAATGAGCATGACCCATCCAACCCAGTGCAGAAATATCCAGCTGTAATTCACAGCATGGCCGGAGAAATAGAGGCGAAGCCTTCAGCGAGCGCTGCTCGCCCAGCGCTGCTTCGGAGCCTCTTCGTTCTGCAGGCGGCCAAGGCGCCCTCTGCAGAGCTGACCTTCCAGCTGAAGGGTTGGCATTGATTTCCCCCCCGCGATGCCATGGAACTGCGTCGTTTGAAACCTTTCCGGGGCTCGATTCCCCACGCGTCTCGTTGGCAGTGGCTCTGGGCTCAGCAGAAGGGGCTGCCTCTGCTGAAGGAGGGATGCATCCTGGCAGGTGGCGAATGCTGGTGTAGCTTAGTCGGGACTGATGGGGACAGCATGGGCTGCTGGTCTGTGCTGCTAGGAAGGGCTGATGTTCAAAGCCCCGTCTGTGAAACCCTTTTCCTCATTTCAGCCCATGTCCCCGTCAGCCAAAGGCTGGAGTATTACTCACTGCGCCCCAGCAAAGCACCTGTAATCCTGCTCTGCTGCAACCGGGCAGCTTAAATCACAGGCTAAATCCTGGCATTCCCGCGGTCAAAGGACGGCAGAGCCATTGTTCCCATGCCCCTCTGCTCTGTAACGGTAGCCGTTGGCCTTATTGGGCCCTGAGTATGGCCCAGTGGAGCCCTGGCCTGTGTCATGTGACTGGGGCCAGGCCATAAAGGGCAGCCTCTCGGCAGCACTAGCACACCTGTATGCCAGGGCCTTGGGCCCAGCTGGATGTATGGCTGCAGAGCAGAACGGAGCATGGTCATGGGAGACTGGCGTGTACAGCAACAGGGCGAACTCCTGTGGATCTCAGCTCAGGCGCACACCCATCAGGCCTTCCCCACCAGCCCCAGCATGGCTGTTTTCCTACCCAGGCCCCCTCGGCCATGTAATAAAGCCACCGAGGGGGAAGTATTGCTGCTGTCTATTAATTCACTGCCCAGAGAGGGGAGCTAGCCACATAGAATAAAGTGTAATGCTCACGGGTAGGGGCTTCCACCTGCTCAGGGGAAGAGCCAGGAACAACAGTGGCTTTTTCCCTCTGAACTGCCCCCTCCAGGCCTGTTGGCTCTCCTCCAGGGGCAGGGCTGGGGTCTAACGGAGCATCCCCCACCACACAGCTGAGCCAAGGCTTTTTAGCATCAGTCCCTCCTAATAGCACCCAAGCAACTAAATCTCCCCTGGAGCAAGCGATGGGCGTGCTGAAGATGCAAGCCAGGTTCCACCCCCGCAGCCACAGCTATAATATAAGAGCAACCGCTCTGCGTCCTCAGCGT